ATAATTCTCATCGGTCACCGTGAAGGTGTCGATGAGATTTGCTGCCTGTCCCTTGAGAGCCTCCTTGAGGCGTACTAGCTTTTGCACTGGGGGAATTGAATCGTCTTTTCCCACCAGTGACTGGAACAGGTCGCTGAACTGCTTCTACTCTGAGTATTTTCCTTCGAATGGTTTCCGTCCGATTCTCTTGAGTTGATTGGCTTGGCCTGATGTTGATGTACTCGCTGATTCCCTCTTCTTGATGATTCCTTTGAGCTGATAGATGAGTTTGAGGCAGGGTTTCTTCAGCATTGAAGCCCTCTGATAGGTGGTCTGAATAATATGTTGATGAGTTGGCAGGAGGGTCTCGCTGAGTTTGTCTTGGATGATGCGCAATTCATTCCATTCTCCTTCGATGATTTTCTCCTGGCCGTCCAACTCCTCAACTGTGAGACCGCTAATGTTCTCGGCTGACTGCAACAATTCTTGATAAATATCATTAAATGACTTTACCTTGAAGTCCAGTTTATTTATTTGGAACTTCTGAGTCTCTGTGAGTTCGCCTATTGCAGGTCCCCTCTCGGCTACAGTGTGTTTAATTTCTTGTTGGTGAATGGAAGTCGCATTAGGGAACTGCGGTGTATTTTCTCCACTGAAGTGCGCTTGGGACGGATTCTCAGTNTTTATGCTTGGCGTCTCCTCAGTGCGTTCATCTATACGTTGATTATCTCCTAACTCCGCGTCTGACATGGTGGTCGTCTCTGCTCTGGCTGAGGTAACTTATCGACAACAGGTAGATACCGATTGATGTTGACTTGGTGCACACTGTCGATAAGATAGGGCCCGTTATTAGGTGAAGGCGCTCTTCTAACTACCTGTTGGATTTCGCGTAGCGCGCGCGGCTTGGGCCTCGGCTAATCCCGACGGAGACCGAGGCTTTCCGAAGTTGCACTGCACTAGAGGTCGAAATGTCACTACCGGTGTTTACAACACCAAACTTCAACTGTAAACACTAGGCACAACACTCTGCACTGTTGATTGTCTTGACCTGTCCGTAGATGTGCTCGTGTAGAACCCGAAAATCCGTTACACACGAGGCGTTCCTTTTATTCTAGAATTTTCCACTCACTCTCACGCACTTTTTCCCAATCCGGATCGAAGGATCATTTGTTTGAGATTGAAGCTAAATTGAGATGCCGGTTAGGGAAAAGTGGAATTGTGGAAGGAGGTGGAAAATTAAAACACGCGGAATTATAAAACCACACTGTTGATGTACTTTATTGTGGAATAACCCACGCGTCTTGAGAAATTAATAATGTTACACTATTGAGTTGCTCGATAAGTCAATTAAATGCTGGTTTGAAAAATGCACTACACTTGAGATTCTCTCGATATTGAACTTAATGATTGACTCAAATAATTGATAATTAACTCGGAATGAATTCATAATTGAATTGCATTAAATAGAGACGCTGTACGAAGCGCTAGACTTAAATATATCGCGTCGATGTACTCCGGTGATGTCCTCGATAGAGCGGTTATGGCAATACAATATTACGATTAGAGTGACTCTCTGGGTGGCTAGAACGATACTACTTCTTTTTCGGCGATTTTCTTCGTAGCTGACCGTGATCCCGACGGGTCCTGAAGTTTCTCGAGAATTTCGTTGAGCCCGGTGACCGTTTGACTACTTTGAATAGTTGAATTTCAAACAAGATCATTATAAAAATTTCGCCATCTCAATTAGATTTCGAGATATAACTCGAGAATTCCGCTGGAAGCGACGTCGACTTGAACCGTTTAACCAATGCACTACGGATCTTTTTCAAATCTATTTCATTTTTTTTCTATTTCATTTCTATTTTTCATATCTAGCATAGAACAATGATGCTAATGGATTGAGTTCCCCATTGAATTTCGGTTCTACTGATTCCATTCATCTATTTATTCTGTTATTTCAATTAACAGTAGAATGTTCATAGGAAAGTTATTGCCAACTGAATTTCTCATCAGAGATGAATGTTGAAATTTTCTCTGATCATTTCTGTACGCATGTCGCGAAAGTGTGAAAACTCACCAGATTCTTTTTGTTACGCTTGTGCTGAATTCACCCCAAAAGTCATAGAAGAGAAATATCACCCCCGCTTTGGAAAGTGCTTACAAAGATTTTTTTAATCGCCCTGTATCCAAAGTGAACAAGCCCTGGGTCCCAACTTCGTGCTGCGGCTCTTGTCGTGCAAATGTCCAGCTATTACTGCAGCAAGACGAGATAGAGTTTAAGTTCAACATCTCCGCAATATGAAGTAAGTAAAAGTGATCACATTACGGACTGTTTTTTCTGCCTAACCAACACATCTGGATATTCCAACGGAAATCAAAAATATTAGCTGTACAACTTAATAAGGTGCCCCTATATTTCGCGGTTTATAATTGCGTTAAAAAACGTGATATTTCAATATTTTCTATGTTGGTAGTATTCAGTTACGGAAGTAGCAAATACTTCTTATATAACCTTAAAAAATAGAAGTAAACACGATGTCTGTCGATAAACAACATTTCAGGCACTGCATTCTTTTTGCATTTCAATTAAAGAAAAATGCTGCCGAGGCTACTCAAATGATTTGTAGTGCTCATGGAAAAAACGCTGTGACACATAAAAGAGAGACGGAGATTTCGATCTTTCGGATCGAGAACGGCCGGGTCAGCCTAAAAAATTCGGCGACGAAGAACTCGAACAACTCTTGGCTGGAAATTCTGCTCAAAGCCAAACAGAGCTTACACTACAACTCGGAGTGACTCAACAATGCATTTCTCATCGCCTACATCAACTTGGCAAAATTCAAAAGGAGAATAGATGGGTTCCTCATGATCTGAGCCCCCGAAAATAAGGAGCGACGACTGGAGACGACGCTGTCTCTGTTCACTCGATTTAAAAGAAAAGATTTCTTATTTAAAATCATCACGGGCGATGAAAAGTGGGTATTATACGACAACCCTAAAGGCAAACATCGTAGGTGAATCCCGGCGAACCATCAACGTCGACTCCGAAATCCAATGTCTATGCGAAAAAAGTGATGCTGAGTATCTGATGGGATATGAAGGGTGTGATATATTATTAGGTGTGTGAATATGACTCCGCCCTTTCCCAATAGATGTCTTTTTTAGTATTGCTTACGTGCACTAATAAATGGCAACACTTGTATTCGATAGTACTTTATGTCAGCTGTCAAACGCACTACGTGACATTTGGTTGAAATGTGAGCAACAAGTGTTTTTACCTCCGTGACAATGTCGGTTTTCGTTCCAAGTTAATATCATTTGCGGGAAGTGTTATTACACTATTATATTGCAGAGAAAAGTGTAGCTGAAACTCATCGTTTGCTTGTGGAGACGTACGGTGAGCATGCTCCATCTAATACAACTTGCAAGGAATGGTTTCAACGATTTCAAAATAATGATTTTGTCACTGAGGACAGAGAACATGGAAAACCACCAAAAAAATATGAAGATGCTGAATTGGAGGCATTATTGCCAGAGGGTTCTTGCCAAACTCAATCAGAAATGGCTGCAGCATTAAATGTTGAACGATCAACTGTTGCAAAGCATATAAAAGCAATGGGAATGGTTCAAAAAGTTGAAAGAAAGAGACATGGAACGTCGAAAAACAATTTGTGAAATGCTACTTCAAAGGCAGCAAAGAAAAGGATTTTTGCATCGCATAGTCACAGGAGATGAAAAATGAATATATTATGAGAATCCTAAACGCCAAAAAGCTTATATGAAGCCAGGTGAACCCGGCCTATCCCAGCCAGAAAGAAATATTCACAGTGCCCAAGTTATGCTCTGCATTTCGTGGGATCCGAGAGGTGTTGTATATTATGAGTTTCTCAAGCCCTCTCAAACTATTAATGGAGAAGTTTACCGACGACAACTAATGTGTTTGAAGCGAGCAATAGAAGAAAAACGACCAGAATGGGTGAATAGGCACAGTAAATTAATTCTTCAACGTGACAGTGCCAAACCGCATACCGCCCAAGTTGTGAGAAGATATTTAGATGGACAGGACTGGGAAGTGCTACTCCACCCGCCATATTCGCCAGATATAGCTCCTTCGGATTACCACTTATTCCGAACACTGCAGTCATATCTTACGGAAGAACTGTTCACTTCATAAGAAAGTATCAAAATTTGGCTTGATAATTGGATCAGCTCAAAAGACCAGGAGTTCTTCTGGCATGGAATACGTAAATTACCTGAAAGATGGGTAAAGGTTGTAGCTGCAGAGGGAGCATACTTTCGATAAACTTTTATTTAATTTTCTAAACAATCAAATGTGTTTTATTTGAATAAAAAAGGGCGGAGTCATATTCACACACTCAATATAAGCTACTTAAACCTGGCCAAACTGTTACTGCGAAGGTTCATCAACAACAGCTTATTCATCTGAATGATGCATTGGAGCAAAAGAGGCCATCTACTGGCAGCGGAAGTAGACAAGTGATTCTCCAACATGATAACGCTCGACCGCCTGTCGCCAAAGCGACTATAGATATTATCTGTGAATTAGGATGGGAGGTTCTCACCAGCCTCACGCGGCTTACGCGCCTGATCTGGCCCCGTCCGACTCCCACCTATTTCGGTCTCTTCAACACCACCTAGCTGATGAGCACTTCAAAACAATCGATGAGGTTCGAAAAAGCATCGATGAATTTATTGAGTCAAAACCGCCAAGTTTCTTTCACGAAGGAATTCGTCAGTTGCCAGTGAGGTGGAGTAAAGTCATCGAAAATAATGGGGAATCCTTCGTCCATTAAATGTCTTTGTTTTTTTTTATAATAAAGTCTGATTTTCATGAAAACAGCACCTTATTAATTTGTACACCTAATATTTCAATTATTCAGAGGTTTCTTGAATGGACCTTCCAACATTCTCACCAACCATCCCAATATTTAAGAGAGACAATTCCGTGAAAGTAAGAGACGAACCTTGAGCTGATGAGATAGAGCAGAGTAATAAAAAAGACCCCGAGGATGCAGAAAAAGAAGTAACAGCTCCCATAACTCCACGTCCCCTTTCGCAAGAGCAATTGAATGTTTGGGTGAAAGATTTTGGTCTTACGAAAGACATAGCGGAGCTAATGGATTCAAAGATGAAAGAGTCTCACTTGTTGCAGCCAGGTGTATGCATCAGTCATTTCCGTGATCGCGATAAGACTTTTCATCAATTTTTCTGGGATGATGAAGAGCTTTGTTATTGGTCTGATGTACACGGTTTGATGCAGAGTCTGGGATTCAAGCATCATGCGAAGGAGTGGAGTTTCTGCGTTGATTCCTCCTGTACCAGTCTGAAGACCGTGCTTCTTCATATAGGAAATATTTATCCTTCGGCGCCTATCGCCTACTGTACTTCAATGAAAGAAAATCACGAGAACGTGAAATTCCTACTTGAGGAAATTGATTATGTCGCCCATATCTGGTTGATCTATGCTGATCTCAAAATGATCGCACTCATTTCAGGAATGCAAATAGGGAGCACAAACCCCTGCTTTCTATGTGAGTGAGATAGTCGAGACCGCAAATACCACTACAAAATTTCTGATTAGCCTTCACGCAAAGGGGTGATTCCTGGTAAGCGAAACTTTATCAGAGAGCCACTGGCTACACCTGAGAATATTTGTCTCCCACCCCTGCATGTCAAGCATGGACTGGGCAAGAACTTCGTTAAAGGATTGGGAAAGGGAAGACTGGCACTTAGCTACTTGAAGACGCTGTTTGACGAAACTCAGTGATGCTAAAATAAAAGGAGGTGTATTTGTTGGCGCGCAGATTCGTAAATTGCTTAAGAATGATGAAAAATTTTCAAAACACCTAAAACCTACAGAACTGAGAACGTGGAACTCACTACAACGACTCCTTTCCGAGTTTCTCGGGAGTCAGCGTGCACCAGAGTACAGAAAAATCGTCAATCAAATGCTGACTAATTACAATAAAATGGGATGTAACATGTCGTTGAAAATTCATTTTCCAAACTCCCATCTGGATTTCTTTCCCCATGAGCTCGATGACGTCAGTGACGAACACGGAGAACGCTTCCATCAGGAAACCGCGAAGGTTTAGAAGCGATACCATGGAAAGTCGGTGACCCATATACTGGGAGATTACTGCTGGAACCTGATCAGTGATGATGACACTGTTTACAAGCGACGATGTTGTCGTATTTCTTTCCAAAATGCTCATACCGTAAAACCTAGAAAATTGTTGTTATTGGTATGAATGAATTGAATGCTCGTGTTATCGACTCATAAATTTATCTATTTTCATCTCCATGGAGCTCTTGAAATTGAATTTTGGTAATGAAAGATTTTTTTTATCGTTATTCTAGATCGCTTCGACCCGATTAGGGTATGCTGCGATGATGATTAAGACTTTAAATAGTTAGATTTCACCATTCTACACAGCCGGGTTTTGAACTCGGAACCTTTCGCACGTGAGGCCAGTAATATTATAAACTTACCCACTGCACCAGGCCACCGGGCTAATGAAAAATTTCATCACACAAAAGAAAATTACGAGGATTCTAAAACGGGTTAGAGATGATCATCTTATTCTGGTTCAACGATAAAAATTTCAATTCTCTATAGGCGGATTTGGGGGGTTTTCCACTCATGGACTTGGGGGAAAGGATGGTGCAGGGAGGTTATTGAGCAGGTCTCGTCATCATCATCTCCACCGTTTTCATCCAAGAACATGAGCTCGTGTTCGAAGATGAATTGAGCATGCGGATTCACGTACCTCCCCTCACGTTGATCTTCCCCCTAAAATTTAAATAAGAACCACGTCAGATAGCCTTGTGCGATTTTTCAACATGCATGATAATTAATAATTTGCGTGCAACGATTGTTATCAATTTTATGATTGAACGGAAAATAGTACCCCGAAGTGGAGGATTGAGATGCTCTCCTCCAATCGCCCGCCATATCGATTTATTCTCATTGCAGTACCTCCATCAACCGTTCTGCTAACGGTTTGGTCGATCCTTGACGAGAGAAATCAGAATTCTCTTTGCTTCGAGAGTTATATCTGGATCCATCCTTTGCAAAAAGTGGCCGAATTTTGTAGGACTGTGTTATGAAAGCTTTGAAGAAAACCCAGGTTAACCACGTATCTACAGGATTGAATTCGGCGGGGTTAGAAAAACATGTATCCAACTTCCGACCATTTCCCCTAATTGCATGTAAATACTGAAAATTTGGTAATTTCATGATTTATTTCCAGCTCAATTAAACCGCCAATTCCCCGGAGAATTATTCCCTTGGATAAACAAATCTTCCTTCAACTTCCTGTATTTTTTCCTATCCTATTGAGTACAAAATTAGTTGACTTTTATTTTTATGTAATATGTCCATTTTCCTACTTTTCCCAACTTTGACATTTTCTGTCTCCGATAACTGACGTGCTAGCGACATTTTACAAACGCCATTGAATTCAGGGTAAAAAAATCTTTATAAAGTATAAATTTTATTTCTGGCAGAAGACGTGGCCCGAATTTGTTGAACCGTGTAATCGTCGCAAGGCTTTCATGTGAAAAAAATCGAAAAACTGCTAAGATTCCACCATAGCGCGACTGCTCAAGGGTTAACATCGCTTTCATTTTGTGAAATTTTTATAATTCAAGACTTAAATTATACAATTGTCCAACCGATCTAATACTTCTATGGAAATCTACTGTGTATTTTACGCTGTACGCATTCTGCGCCAACATTGTATTAAAAATTAATCGCTGGTAATTCGTCAACTGCTTTCCCCATGTTATTGGATTGTGGCGTCAGCCAATTTTGAATACAAATAAATGAATAAGCGTATGACGTGCATCAAATTCTCTGACAATTCCTGGTTTTCCAGATTTCCTTGACCACTAGACGCCTTGAAATCAAATGTGTCATCGTCAATGTCATCGTTCTATTAGTTTCTGTAATTACTGGGTTCTGAGCGTGAGTAGTATCAGGCAGACTTATCAAGAGATATATTTAATAGATAGTGTCACCACCAAATATCGTCTATTCAAATAATATCCTTGAACCACTCATTCTCAAGACCTACAATCATGCTGCAATCTAGAAATTATTACCGCATAACATCGATTAAACCTACTCTATTCCGTTAGGATCTCCTGGGAAAAGCCAGTCTCGAAGAACTCTACTCCACCCTTGAAGAGAAGCAAACGCAAGTGGTAAAGCTAGAGAAGATGGTTAAAGAAATGGAGGATCACGAGAAACATGCCCAGGAGCAGAGAACACGGCAGGAGAAACGCATAGCCCAGTTAGAGCTCACGTTACAAACCAAGATGAATGAAAATCGGTACGTGCCAGGATGTGAAACACGCCGCCACTTACACGCTTATAATGCGCGTTATATCCTCTCAGGGCCGCCCTCAAAAACTTCAGCCGCGGTTTCTTTCATCGACCAAAAAATGCGACGATCAAAGACGTTAACGTCATTCCTACCCTCAAACCAATTTGTGACTTCACGTGATTATAATACTAATGACTTGGAGTTTACAAAAATGTCAGACCTCGAGAAAAAATATTACGAGTGTACTCAGGCTGAACATGGGTTCGAGTCATTCTACCAATGGCTAATGTCGAATCACGCAAAAAATTCGAGGTACTTGTGTGCCTCTAGATACGATAAGGAATCGGAACTAAATTATTACGAAAAAAAAAAAGGGAATCAATGTGGCAGGGGGTCAAAAGGTTATAAAGAACATCGTCTCCAATGCAAAGCTCCGAGTAATATTATAAAATATCCTAGGACATCGTCAAAGGATCCACATAGAAGATATTAGCAATCGAATAGTAAGATAGCTCAATTTTATTGCGTGATCGATATTCTTTTAAACTCATTTTCATTCAAGTTCATTTTTGAAACTCGGATTTTACTGTAAGGAAAAGATTCTCGTGGATACGCGTATGGAAAAATTCGAGAATAGGGTACGATGGCACATTTTTGTCGCAGAATTTCATCGCTGATTGTATTAGTTTTGTGCCGATTTCTATAGAAAATTGGGCAGTTTTTCCGTACCTACTTCTACTAAGAAATAATGTTTTTTAATTTTTCTGTTAACATTCTTTCCATTTCTTATTCCTGAAGAAAATTCTAGCCATAAATTCGCCAATTTTTTTTGTATTCTCTTCTATTTCTCATCAAAAAATGGAACAAACTCGATTGAAAATCATACGGAAAACGAGTACATTCGTTATCAGTTTCGTTCAGCTATACTTTTCTGAAAAATTCACTTTTCGGAGCCTTTTAGCAGTAAAGTGCTTGTTTTTTGTACGACATGCGCAGAAGTTTCAGAGATCGTGCGTACGCGGCAAAACTACAATATTATTTTTTACTGTGTGAACATAAGAATCGAGGACCATACTCACCACACTAAAAATTTTCTGGTCAACTTAGTAAAAACTGCGAGTCGGTATAGTAAAAAGTGGTAAAATACAAGTAAAATTTAATTTATCACGATTAAAAATTCAGTTAAGATAATTCAAATTTTAAAGTTTTGGCATGGTCCTCGACTACTATGTTCATATTGTAATTTTTAATTTTATATTCTCTCCGTGTAAATCAAAACAAAATTTATTTTACACACGATCTTGAATTCAACGCAATCCACGCAAAGAACCAAACACATTACCCGAACTGTATTCTTGAAAAGTGAACTCGGCGGATAGTACAAAAAAGGGATGTGCTACACCGGTGAAAAGGCGTAACTTCACGCATTAGAACCAGCATTTACTAATCTAAAATGTTGATATGAGAAATAAAAAAACAAGTACAATTTATGTCCAAAAAGTTCCATGGGATCTTTATATATTTTAAAATTTTTCATTTGAAGCCATATGGAGTGTTGTATCGAATATAAAAGTAGGCTTTGGATATTGCACTTAAACTCTTCATTTATTCTCGAAATTATGATTTCATATATCACGCACTGACTCAGAACAAATTCCCCATGAGCGGCGTAATAGTTGGGTGTTTCTCCCGCGCACTAAGCGATCAGGATTTTTTACACGGTGAAACCTTACAATTTCGTTTGTTTGCCACCAAGTTATCAGAAAATATCAGATTATTTTTATGCTCTCGGGGTATTATTACTAAAAAAAATTGATAAAACTGAGGGATGTTGAAAAATGAACATCTGCTGACGTTTTTCAATCAAATTTCAGTCAAAAAAGTGCAAGGAAAATCCGTGTGTTATCAATAGAAAGCGGCAAAGGTTAATAAAGTTCCGACAAAATTCACATAAAATTGAAACAGAATTCTAACTGACTTCGAAAAAATCTCAGTCGAATGTGCTTCATAGAAAAATTAAAATCTATTATTTTTTTCTGTGGGATATGCTTAAACTTCTCGATTGAAAAACAGTCAGCCAAATACGAACAGTATTTCCATGAGAATTCCTTGAATTTCCTATTGAATATTTTAAGGAAAATTATCGAAAAAATTCTTAAAATAGTTCAGGGCGGTCTGCAGGGCATAGATTCTACTCAAAACATGTGGTCTGCTTTAACAGGCTAGGCTACTTCCTGCTACGTTTCTAAAAAAAATGGAAAATGCTCGAAAGTTCCTTACAGAGTGCCTAGCCGTTGAAACAGACCTTAAATTACTATCATGTATGTTCTACTATACTATCATGTATGTTCTCTTTTCTAGGAAAAGGTTCGGCATCCTGTAAGAGATTTTCCGAGTTCAATCACCTTTGATACCCGTTTTCACAATTATAGTGGATATAGTTTCATGGATGTATCATTCTTTTCGAGTCGTATTTGTGATCAATAAACAATTTAATAAAACCTATTCATTTCATTAATTATTTTCAATATCACTCTCATTATCGCAGCTTAAAGTATCATTGATCCAGAAATAATAAAGAGAATGGAGATCAAACTTGCAATCATTGAAATATTTTGCTTATAAGTGACTGTCAAAGAAAATGGAAAAAAATGGTTTTGTTAGAATTTTCTGTAACTTCATAAGAGGTTTATAACAGGTCCCCATCAAATAATTCACTTTCACGATAAATACAATACATGCGACCATTGTCAACTGAGTTGACCATTTGAATATTATTTCCTAGAAAGGTAGCGAAATGCGCCTGAAGACTGTTTGTTAATTTTACTGTATTTTGGGCAATAAATTCTATGTTAATCTCCGTAACTTGCATAAACATCATCAATAGGAGATTTTCGAATTAGAATTCTCCATCCCTTTTATTTTTAATTAGGAATTAAGTTGCTTAGTACTCAGAATTTTCTGTTGCATGTTGCTAAGAGGTTTGATTTGTGATGAAGTCAAGAGAAATACATTTTTATGGCTTTCCAAAAAAGAAGCCGGGAACTATATTTTATACAAAAATGAAATGCTGTTGCTCATATTTCTTCTTGATATTACGATCAAATTCAAAAAGATTTTACAATCTAATTTTACAGCAAGAAAATGAATTTGTTGCTGATTTCCATATGCAACTACGGATATAGTATATCTCGTCTGATACTATTGACATAGGCAACAATGAATATGCATTTCTTTTAATCCATCGCTGATAAAGTAATTATAAATGATTGACCACTTCAATCATATCTTCTTGACACAGCTGTTATGCCCCAGAATGATGTTGTAATCTTAAGTAATAATGTATTTAATAAAAGTGAAGAGGTTGAATACAACTTGCTTCACTCATTATTTTACTGAATCAGCATGTCATGCGTAACACTGCTGACCAGTGTCATAACAGGACATGCTTAATTGTCATATAAAGTGAACTCACCGATGTTCGGGAGTTCAGTCGTCATCGAGAGTTAAACTCACTACTAAACTTGTAATTCAACTGTAAATTGCTCATATTTATTCCATCTGCATAATTATGAGTTAGCCTAATTGAATAAACCTGTTTTTCTATTAATTACTCCGTCGGATTCTATTACCGTCCCACTGTAGGGAGATTTATCTCCATACAAAACAGAACCCAGGGAGATATCCCTAACATATTTGGTGACAGCAGTGTCTTCGAAGGCAGGGCCTGATCACCTCTTGCCGACGACTACAGGAGGGTACGAGAATAATTCGGGGGATATTGGAGAATTAGAGGTACATCATCATCCTTCGAGAAATCATTTTTTTCGAGGGAGCGAGAGACTATCCTAGGAGAGACTAGCAGACGAGGATCTTCAACGTACGGAGAGACGTTTTGGATTCAGGAAGCTCAATTCCTAGGTTAGACTGGCAGAAGGGGATTCCAATCGTACGGAGGGACGTTTTGGATCCAGAAACCTATTCGACTGGATAGTACAAGGTCTGACTTTGTCCTCAGCTTTAAAAAGTCAGACTTGGTTCTCTTCAAAAGGGGGAGGAGAATCTGAAGCAGCTGAAGTATTCAATAAATTCACTGATTATTCAGCTTCATTGTGGATTATTTCTGTGACTTGCTACGGAAATAATGATGGCTTTGCGAATTCAAGGAGAATTTATCGCTGCCAGGAATTTTTGTCGTCAGAGTGGGAATAAATCCGGAAGATTTCCACTGCATTCTACGGTCTCTCAGGTCTTGGGAAGTACTGTGGACATAGTGCGACTAGGTAACTAAAGGAGTTCACAGTGTATCTCGTCGAGAGATAAAATTTGTTGACATGGGCCCAAGGACACTAGCAAGTGTGTCGATTATTGAGGAAGCCCTGGCCGGCGTGCCAGGCGTAACGCAGCAACTGGTCGAGGCACCAGCACTGGTAGACGTACCAGGTTCGTTGTCAGCGGGCGGAACATCGAATGTGGCCATGGAGGCTGCGACAGTTGTCATCCGTGCAGTTGACTGCGGAAAAGAGGATTTTACCGACGCTAGGGAAGGTACAGCCCCTTTGGTACCAAGCAACGGAAAAGATACAACTATGGCGGGGTCTGAATACGGGAGTACAAAAGTGACAGATGCCAGAGCAGAAACCTTGGAGAAGTTAAATCTGGAATTTTGCAGCCTACGGCAGGGCTCGCGTGAAGATGTCAGCGCATTCACAGATAGTGTCAAGGGGTTAGCAATGAAAATAGCCAAAATTCGTTTTGAGTTGGGGTTACAACGACCAATTGCACGCCTGATGGAAATGGTGAACATTGAATTGGAGTTTCACAAGTGTTGCACGCTAGCAGCAGAACTCGAGGTGGAAATGCTGCTTAGCTCAGCGGAAATTCCGAAGTGGGACACGGGGCAATACGTGTCGTCGAATGTAGGAATTCCAGAAAACGAAGGCCCGATGAGGCAGGCGGGAATTGAGGACAACGCCTGGGCGGCGGCCGATCTTCCAGATCTTCCAAGGGAAAGGGAAAGCCCCAAAGATAGGGCGATAGTAACGCAAACGTACCGGCAACAGGGTAAAACAAAATTGAATATTTGTTTCAATTGTGCAGAGGAGGGACACACAGCTGCAGAGTGTGGGCTCTCATTGGAAATTACGAACGGCAATGTAATTCGTTCGAATTCTCCACATTTCATCAAGAGTCAAAATCAGGAAAAGTGCAAATATTGCAGACGTGTTGGTCACAATGCATATGGTTGCCGTCAACTGAAGAGACGACTCGGAATTTCTGATTNTATTGCAGACGTGTTGGTCACAATGCATATGGTTGCCGTCAACTGAAGAGGCGACTCGGAATTTCTGATTCTGCAGAAATTGAGGCCACTCCGCATGGGAACAAGGCTAAAATGAAGAACAGAGGTTATTCCAAACAGAAGGAGGAGAATAAAAATGGAAAACTTAGGAAGGTGAATTCACGTTGCAGAAATGTCAATAGGGTTATGACATACCAGATTGAAAGTGATTCAAGCAGCATCCTGAGATATTCGGATCGTACGCAGAGGGCGAAACGAGTAATAAAACCAGCCAGTCCGGAGAATCATAGAAATCACATTGTTCTGGAAGCATCAATGCTCAGGAATCGCACGGCTTTCTTGATGGACTCGGGTGCGGCTGTTTCTTTAATTAAAAAGGGGAAATTACGTAAAAAATTTCCGCTGATTGAAGATGTCAATCTGCTGCGAGGAATTGCTGACCAAGAGATTCCGACACTTGGGAAAGTAATCATATATTTCCGCTTTAAGCAGGAGGAATTGGGACACATTTTCCACGTAGTTCCCGATAACTTTCCGTGCTCAGGAGGTATTTTGGGTCAAGATTTCCTGGAATCAAAGGACCTGAATGTGAGAATCATTCCAGGGAGGGCTATTTCAATAAATGGCTCCATACTGAGGTTTCTTGGATTGAAGGCCATTAACAATAAGCGGAATTGGTCTGAACCAAGGGTAAGCAATGCAGTGATTCAGATTAGTCAACTAGCACACACTCCAGAAGCGGAGGGGGAAAACTTAAGATAAGCAAATGCTTCCGATACTGAGACCATTACAATTTGCAATCACCCTGGTTACGTGGAGGAAAAAATTGCACATTTCCATGAAGAGTCATCTGTTGAGGTGGATGAGCAGGCAGACGTTCTTCGAATGAGTCAACACGGTTCCACGTTCTGAGAAGTCCCATCAGAAAAACGGATTTTTCTTCCTCGGAGGGGACGAGAGATGCCGAAAAGGGAATGGTCGAAGGTGGAGAAAAACCGTATTTCCAATGGATTATCACTCTTAGGACAGCATTGTCAGATGCTGACGAGAGAAATGAGTTTTCTCGGGAAAAATAGCGGTCATTCTGATAATGCAGGGATTGTGGCGTCTGAGCATCTGGTGCATCTACCGCTCAGTAGAAATTGGACAAATTGGCTAAACGTTCGGGGATAGTATTGTTGTTTGTTGTCAGGAGAGACCCAAGAAGAGTGGAGTTACGGAAGCTGAAGAGGAATGAGGGGATCATCGGAGGCTCATTCTCTTACCAAATCCTTCGGGAATAATCACTCGCTTCGAGAGGAAGCGAGATCACTCAAGGGAAAAACCTGATTCATGGATTTTCCGGAACTCATCAGAAGAAGAGGCTGAGTGTGAATTTACTTTCACGCTGGATAAAATCTTTGGGACTCTTCAACAAAACAAATTCTATTATTCTTCCGGGAATTCCCCGGGGTTGTGGGAATCTCAGAGGAACGTAATAATGCGTATCATCATCTGGGCCACTTGGGCAATAGATAAGAATACCCCTGAACGATTGGAGGAATATTTGTCTCGAACAGACCAACAAAGTGAAGGTCCTGGGAGTCTTCGTTTGAACGAGAAAGATTCTCAGGCAGGCATAGGAGGTATGGATTCTGAGAATCTTCGTTTGAACGAGAAAGATTCTCAGAGGGATGGAAAACATTGCCTCTCCAATGTCTACAGTATGGGCACATTATTCAAGATTGAGTTCAAGGAGCCAACACGAAACTGTCCAGTCAATAATGTTTCGATTGTGACTGTAATTTCTCACAAGAGGAAACTCTTTACTCTTCATCTCCGAACGAAGCTGTCCAACAAATTCCGGAAGACTTCCCTTAAGCCTAAATGGTTCACGGGGAAAATTCAAAGGAATTATGACGTCAACACGATGCCGATGGAGGTGACCCTTCGACTGAGGAAATTAAGGGAACGTCATCGCACGATGGGTGGCTATATAATGATCTCTCATGAATCTTTGAAAGGGACACAAGGGCCTAAAATCAAAAGCTTGCAGGGCAAGTGCAATAAAGAATCTGAGAGTATCGGGGCAGCATGAGGACGAGTTGGTTTGCACGAGGAATATCACAGGTGTAA